GGACATTAGAAATGTCCTCTCTCCTGATAGGACATTAGAAATGTCCTCTCTCCTGATAGGACATTAGAAATGTCCTCTCTCCTGATGGGACATTAGAAATGTCCTCTCTCCTGATGGGACATTAAAATGTCCTCTCTCCTGATGGGACATTAGAAATGTCCTCTCTCCTAATGGGACATTAGAAATGTCCTCTCTCCTAATGGGACATTAAAATGTCCTCTCTCCTGATGGGACATTAAAATGTCCTCTGTCCTCATGGTGATGTCAGTCTGGATAAAACCTCTCACCTCATGGAAGTTGTCCTCGGTGATGCCGCTGTCTTCAATGTGAAGAATGCTCTTGAGGGTCTGCACGTAGAGCAGGTCCACCTCCTCCAGGTCCTCCAGCTGCAGAGGGATGCAGCACAGCTGCTTCCAGACCAGCGGGGCCAGGTGCAGGTCCAGGGGCTTCTTGGTCCGGATGGCCACGCCCATCAGGATGCCCAGAAACTTGAACTGGAGCATGTGCTCATCCAGGCAGGAGGACGGGTTGAAGAGGAACCTGGAGGGAGCAGAGGTGGAGTTACACCACGGTGGGATTATCCAGATGATCAGCTGCTCCAGATCCTCACCTGTCTCTGTTGTAGCCCACCTCTGCCGTGGCATTGGGGGAGGGGATGAGCAGGTCCACCACACCTGTCTCCAGCTCCTATAGAACATGCACAGTCAGACAGCTGGACACACCTGGACAGCAGAGACATGTCCTCCAGTACAATGAGGTTTATTTATTAGAGGCTATCACATGACTTTGGCTATGCTAACCGCAACTCCATCTTGACACAGTCATTCAACCATTGAACACAGACCCACAATGCCATGTCACTGTGCAGCGTTCGCTTGCAGCAATCGCAGTGGAAAATGTTTGTACCTCAACATTTCATCGGTAAGTTTTTTTATTTTAAAATAAGAAGGCTTTGTTTAGCATTGTGCCCCACGTTGGGCACCAAATCTGTTGTAGCGATTACTCTTAATAAACACAGGAGTCTCTGGTTGACAGGCAGCTGAGGGAGTTTTATTGAGTTGTATGGTTCTTTCAGACAGTCTCAACTTTAAAGCAACGGGAACCAGCCCCGCCGAATTGGGGAGCTCAGTATTTATACCTTCATTCTGCGTCATCAGATTAAACCAAGCCAAGATTTCAGATAACTTTTCACATACACACAAACTGGAAACTTTTATATAACATTTCCCACAACAGATTTCCATCACCATTCCCCATTATTCGGTCCACCCCCKRGTTCTTTCCCACTGTAAACAAATCKTGAGTCCCACACACACCATTGAAAGTAACTTTCTGACCTGATGTCTGTCCAGAACATTCCTGACCAAATATGTCAAACTGTTTATATCAGAAAGTATCTGACTTACACAACTTAGTCTAACAGCTAAAGAACCTGCCACTTCATTGGCCCCAGCCTCTTCACGGGGGTAGCCTCTCTAGTGTATATACCTCATTGCTCCAGTACATACCTGACACATCTCTGTGATGGTGTCATCAAACACGCCCCCCGCGTCGTCCGCCCCCTCCCCCACCAGCTTCACCTTCCAGGCTCGAGACGGCAGCCGCAGGTCCGAGGCGTTCAGCTTCACCACCTGCCGAGCGATCTGCACGAAGATGGGTTTACATTTCCGTCTGCTGCAGACAGTCCACAGGTCACGACAGGAAGCAGAAGAGAACAAAGTCAGAGAGGGTTTGAACCACGCCCACAGGAAGTGATTTTTATTTATCGGAGCTCAAATTGACTTCAGCCACGCCCACAGGAAGTGATTTTGATTTATTTATCGGAGCTCAAACTGACTTCAGCCACACCCACAGGAAGTGATTTTTATTTATCAGAGCTCAAACTGAGTCCAGCTGCGTACTGACCGGGTGGAGATCCGTTTGACGGTGATCTGAGGTCCGTAGTTCTTGCCCTGGACCATGGTCTTCCCTATGGAGCGCACCATGGGCAGGGTGTAGACTCTGGGGGCCAACAGGGGCCTGAGCTGGCCCTGAACGATCCCCCATGTCCCTGCGTTGTAGTGGGAGGTGCAGCTCTGTGGAAACATCAGGTGATAGAGATGAGAGGAGTTTCAGGTTCTGTCTGAGCTCCTGGGCTCTGGGTCGGACCTGTCCAGGTGCTGGTGCTGGTCTCACCTGGTTGTTGGGGCTGAGGTTCAGCAGCCTCCACGAGGAGTACATGAGGTCTGAGAAGTGGTAGAGGAGGCGCAGCCGGGCCCTCACCGCCTCGATGCTCACCTCCTTCAGCCCGCTGTACTGAGGAGGCACCGCCACCGGCAGACCCAGCTGCAGGGGGACCGACGAGCCTGAGGAGGAGGAGGAGGAGGAGGAGGAGGAGAGGTGAGGAAGAAGCACAGAAAGAAGAATGCATTCACTTAAAGAATTCTAGAAAAACAGTAAATAAACTAAATAAAATAATTTTCAGTGAAAAGATGAGCTGAGTGTTGACTGACTGAACCAAGTTCAAACTCAACTGTTTTAACTACAATTCAACCAAAATAAGCTAAAAATATTGAAAATGTGAACTGTAAACTTAGCAGAACAGAAACTCTCATTTGCAAAACCACAGCTACATGATTAAAGTAGAAAACATAACCTGTAAGCTAAAAGTAGCTCAAGTTAAAATAAAGCTGTAAATKATATCTAAAATGAGCTAAATGCTAAGTAAAAGCTAACTGTCAGGACAACAGATAGAAACGTTTTAAATGAATTAAAGATTTTAATATTTAAGGTAAAATAAAAAGTTTTGAACAATATAAGTTATAAAGCAAACCTCAAAGCACTCTGTAAAGCTGATCTGTGTGAAGCATGACTCAGCACTCTGTAAAGCTGATCTGTGTGAAGCATGACTCAGCACTCTGTAAAGCTGATCTGTGTGAAGCATGACTCAGCAC